GAGGCCCTTCGGAAAGCAATAAATATTCAGTTTAATGACGAGTTGAGATAATATTTGACATTTGTTTATATAATATAAACATAATAATTAACACAAAATTAATAATATAAATTATATTATAGAATCACTTGAAAACATAGCTGTTTGATTATGGAATTTGAAGATAAATTTGTTCCGAGAAATTTAAACTTTAGGGTATTATGTATCAAATAGTGCTTATATAAAAATACCGAAAAATACCAAAATCATTTTTGGAATGATTACCGGTAAAAATACCGCCGAAAAATTGTTTGTGCATGTCTGAACTAACAAAAAGATTATTATAAATGAACTATGAGACTTAGATAAATATTAAGAGTCATGATATTTATGTGAGCGAACAGCAAATAAAAAAAACTCTAGTTTTCTATTTGGATTCGTATTATTATTATTTGCTCAAGTAAAATTCCTTGCCGAAAATCACAATTGAAGCCTTAAAGAAAACAATTTATGATGACGCCAGAGTAGGACACCAAATTGGTCTTTAAAGTATTAATCCGATAGTCATAAAACTAAGTATCAACTATTAATGGTTTCGACTTACAGTTTCTTATGTCTGATATAAAAACCGCCAAGCCCCGCATTCCATCCCCTCGTGCCGCCGGCATACTGCCGAATTTCTCCAAGGACTGCAACAATTATTAGGGATTAGTAGACAAGGATAATATCATAAATATAGATTAACAACAACTATGCATTCTATAACTACTTGGAACAAAATGAACAAATATACAAGTGCAATGAATGAATTATTATTATTAGGTTTTGATAACGAAAATATTCTAAATAACTAAATACATAAGTAATTCAGCATGCACTACGTATATTGACAAGTAGATTTCGTTACAAAGGGGCGTATATTGATAACTAACTTTCATCCGGAGAATTCGATAACAGGATCAACACTTTATTCGCAGTAATATGTACACTTTTCCTCTTAAAACAAAATTAATAAACCACCATATCTGTTCTTATAAGAATCCAGTGCTAAATTCTGGGTAGATCGCGATTGATGAAAACTTGACAAAAGCTAAAGATTTGGAACAACCGGTGTTATAAATATTAATTGAATCAAAAATTCGATAGCCATATTTCACATACCTCTGTTGTTACAAAAATAAAAGTTATTATATAAAAGCACTGCGGGACTTTATGACTTGTTAATAAATTTCGTTGGATGTTTAGTTTAAAGGATATCCATTCAGACCAGAGTTCCCAAACTTGTTTGTATCATGGACCCCTTGTGCGTTGCCTAGACCCCAAATTTCAATCAGTATCTTAAGGTCTATGATGTTAAGTTTAAAGAATATCCATTAGACCAGAGGTTCCCAACCTTTTTGTATATTGTGGACCCCTTGTGCTTGCCCTAGACCCCCAATATTTTTAAGACCCTAAATTAAAAATACATGCAGTGGTGTCGGAACCATGTGGGCTGGTGCGAAAAAAAAACGAACCCACTAGCTGCCTATCAAAAAAAAACGAGCCCACCCATCAAAAATTAGCTTCCGACGCCACTGAATACATGTGAGTTTATACATTTATTAATTGAATCTAAAACTAAAAGAAAAGAGTAACAAATAAGTAAAAGTTTGTAGGTTTAATCTTACAACTACAGGCTAATGATGTTCAGTCTATATTTTTTTTGTTAGTAGATCAAAAATGCTGCAAATTACAAACTTTTATAAAAATGTACAATTTTAAAAAATGTGCAATTTCCTTCGTTTTTTGTTTATTTATTAATATTGTTAATAAGTGTTTATTAAAGATAGTATAATATAACTAAATTTATATTATACCAAGAGTTCCAATATTGTGGAATCATGTGGCGTCGGAACCGTGTGGGCTGGTTGGGTGAGATTGTATAAAACGTTTAAAACAAAACAAAAAAGAGTCCACCCATCAAAAATTTGCTTCCGACGCACTGCGTGGAACCCATCCCCATTTTTACATGGACTCCACATTTTTTTCCATTGAACGAGTATCTCTTAAAAGTTGTCATGGATCCTAGGGTCGATATGGACCACTTTAGGAACCACTAGTTAACTTCCCCTAGAGTAAGTTATAGTATGTAATCGCAAAAATAAAATTTTTATATATCTTTAATTTATTTCATTACATGAACTCCACATTTTTTCCATTGAACGAGAATCTCTAAAAGTTGTCATGGATCCTAGGGGTCCATATGGACCACTTTAGGAACCACTAGTTAACTTCTTGTAGGGTAAGTTATAGTAATCGCAAAAAGAAAATTTTTATATATTTTTACGTTTCAATTGTTTCTGAATATATTGAATCAGAAAGAAAGATGTATGTGTGTGTGTCTGTGTGTATTGTGTGTGTGTGCGGATACAAATTTTTGTCGTCGAATTCGGGAACACCGATCAACCGATTTGAATAATTCAAAAACATTCGATTTTTTATTGTAACATTAATAATAATACCTAATTATACCGTAAATTAATATTTTACAATTTAAAGATGCACATATATGGAAAAACAAACATTAATTTCCTTACCTTTACCACATTCATAACACCGATCAACCGATTTGAATAATTCAAAAAACATTCGATTTTTATTGTAACATAATAATAATACCTAATTATACCGTTAAATTAATATTTTACAATTTAAAGATGCACATATATGGAAAAACAAACATTAATTTCCTTACCTTTACCACATTCATTATCAAATAAATAAGTTTTTTGGTGTGATATTTGATTTTCCTTGTTTCAAGAAAATGATATATTATGTGAAAGCAATAAATCATATTTTACTACAAAAAGGAATTTCAATTACATTTAAAAATGGCATAGTTAATAAAGTTAATTTAGGCAAATAGAATACCAATTAAATTTTCTAAGGATTCCGGAATCACTATATGTGAATATCAATTAGAATAATTTTCAGACTTTTCTACGATATCTGTGAATACAAATACGGTTTCTTTTTGTTTTCTGAAATTAATTAAAATAAGTAAAATTATAATCATACATGCAGTATACTCTTACTTTACACAATTGATTTTGTTCAGAATACTTGGAATACTACTATGATTATTGTCCTACATTTTATTTCTTTAGTATTTCTCAAAATATAGAATACAGGCACTGTTATAAATTTTTGTCTGATTTAAAAAGTTTCGTCTTCACTTTACATAAGCGTAATTATTTGCATGTCTAATTACTATTTTCTCCAAAATGTGTGACTGACATTGACTTTAATATGAATAACATTGATTTTATGAAAATTGCGATTTTTGTAAGACAAATTCTGGAAATATAGTTACCGGAGTAAAATTCAAACTATCCTTTTGTTCTATTCCTATAATTTTCTCCTAAATATTCACAGCCAAAATATTTTGGGCTACGGGGTGATTCAAGGGAAAATGAGAATCATTTTTATTTTAATAAATTATTAACTTGGCAAAAGAGAAGTTTAGATAATTTTATGTTTTCTCGACGTTTCGAGTCATTCTGAATCGTTTGGGACCAAAATTAAAAGAAGTATGTATGTATGAGTATTTTATCTACATAGGTAAATTTCAATGTTTATTGATTAAGTCGACTATTTACACGTATCGGGAAGTTCATGCAACTTGTCTTAAGGTAAATTGCCACTTATATATATCTTTAACCTTTTCCACTCGGATGGCGCCGCTCTGGCGCCAAAATACATATTAATTCTGTAATTCGCGAGTGGAAAGGGTTGATATATTATTTGAATTACAGGGATTTGAGTAATTTTAATTATACCAATCTCACATAAATTTCGCCTCATTTAAGATTCAGTTAAATGCTCCAAATTATTAATCTATTTCGTTGAGGGGTTCATAAATCACAAACGCTACTTATTATAAAGTGTGATGCATTTATTGCAGAGGTTCGAAAATTTATTTTTATTATTGTGAATTTAATCGCTCGTATTTATTGCAATAAGTTAATTCTTTCATTCGAACATAAATAAAACAGTATTACCAAAAATTTGCATGCAAACATAACAATGTCTACGCATACATATACTTGACCTGTCGATGCTGAACTTTAGCTGTAATATAACAATCTTTGTTCACAGACCTCTGGACCTCCATTGAGGTAAACAGAATTAATTAAATCATAAAGAATTAATTACGATAATAATTAAATAGCGTCGTCGATTATATTAGAATTTCCGACGATCCACGTGCGTGACGTCAAAAACAACAGTAATTTTACATCAGAAATAATTTAGTATTAAAATTTCCATCTTTGTAATAAATTATTATTGGTACGTCATCAGAATTTATAGCAAAGGAGGAAAGAACAAGCGAATGAAAGTCTATGATATACTAGAAAAAGTTAAATTTTAACAAAAAAATCTACGTCCAATAATATTTGAGCAACGTGAGCATCGACCAATGAGATCCTTTCATTGTGGTCTGACATATGGGGCTTGGGAGCACTCTAGATATACGTCAATTCAACATTAAAATAAATGATAGTTTTCACATAAACTGCCAACAAATAACAATAAATTAAATTTATTGAAATTTACATACTACAATCAAATACAACAAATATATAAGCGTGTGAATTATTTTAATTTTATCGACAGACGAATTTGCTATCGGCCTCCTGAGCCCCTTCCAATTAAATGTCAATCCATATAAGAAGTTGCTATGTTTTGTAGTGGCATCATTTTGCCAGTGCCAGTAGAACACAAACCTAGTGTCCGTGTATCAGTTGTTTCTCGATAAATAAAAGTGTGTTATGATTTAGTGCTGGACTTAAACAAATTAAATAATAAATTAGTGCGAAATTATATTTGAGAAAACCCAGGAAATATAAGCGTGTGAAATTATTTTAATTTTATCGACAGATGAATTTGCTATCGGCCTCCTGAGCCCCTTCCAATTAAATGTCAATCCATATAAGAAGTTGCTATGTTTGTAATGGCATCATTTTGCCAGTGCCAGTAGAACACTAAACTAGTGTCCGTGTATCAGTTGGTTTCTCGATAAATAAAAGTGTGTTATGATTTAGTGCTGGACTTAAACAAATTAAATAATAAATTAGTGCGAAATTATATTTTGAGAAAACCCAGGAAACATGAACGGATACAGTGATAATTTATCCACTAGTATGGAAAATAGCAGGTAAATAATTTATTTTATGAAAAATATATCATCAACATATCATACATTTTTGCATGTTAATTATACATCATATTTTGATTTTACATTCGATAAATGTTTTTAAATGGAAACAAGATGTTTTTACGAAAGTTTATAACACAAATTGGTTTTGTGAAAGCGGTTTTTTGTGCATACATTACTTTTGAAATATCTTGACACAATTCTTATGCTGGAATTACTATATCCTATTATTTTTATTCATAAAATTTAATTAAACGCGATTGCTCTTTGTAATGTCAAAGATGGCAGCTTTACTATGTTAGGTTATATGACGTGAAGACCCACACCCAAAACCTAATTGTTTATATGCTTATTAAATCATAGACATATCTATGTCCAATTGAATATTATTTTAATTTTCATGCTTTTCATTTCTTACCCAATATGACAATTAAAATCAGATACATCCAGCCAAGAGCATTTAGCTAATTCAATTTCTATATTTCATAAAACTTCTTTAGTCAACGTGATTACTAAGAAATTAATGCAATTACTACTAACTATGTTTACAGAACACATAATCTCATGTTTGCAAATATACATCAAACCGCGAATTGCTCAAGCTTCGCATAGTTAATTTTATCCATCTGTTGAAATAATGAATATGATGAAATACTTTTGCTGCTACAAGAATAGAAAGCAGTTTTTCTCTCTGACAAGTGATTGTTTTAATGTTTATTATATTGGGATTTTATCACATACTTTAGTTTGTGTGGCAATAATACGATTTATACATTCTTTGTTTTTATACAATCCTTAAGGGGGTATTCTAGTGTAGGGCGATGAATTTCAGGTCATTTTTAAAGTGTCGTTAAAGAAAGCAATGAATGTTTTTACTATCCATTTTTTACCACTTGTTTATCAATATTATTAAATACAAAACAAAAGAATTAAAAAATAAAAAAGTTGAAAATTGTAAAAACTGGCAGCTGATGAAGTGGGTGGTGTCAAAAAATTGGCACTTCAGTCTTGACATGATTTCAGCCCTTCTAGCCATCGGAAATGCAAAAACTAAAAAGATTATAAAAGTAAAAAGTTTTTTTTACAAATTGGCGGCTGTTTGAAAAAAAAAGTGTTTTTTACTGTTTTTTTGAGTTTCTCGAATTTTTTAAAAATAGTAAATATTGGAAATTGGGGATAATCCTAGTTCGGGCTATAGATAGGTCTATGGACAAGACTCTCTGAACATTTCAAGTGAATCGGTCGATTAAAACTCGAGAAATCGTGTCAACAGTACTGAAAAAGTCTGTTCTGAGAAAAACGCATTTAAAGTTTTGCATGAAGCCAAACCACTATGGAGATCGAGTCAGTAAAATGCCTATATCTCCGAAAATAATTCAAATTTTCAAAAACCTTCTCGTACCCATATTCTTAGATAGTTAAACTTTGAAAATATGAAATAAAAAAAAATCGATTTTTTTTTAAATTTCTACACTAGAATACCCCCTTAATGTTATTGTTCCACTACTTCTGGGGAAGCACTAGAAATATGTTTTGAAACAACTTAGCATAACATAAAATTTTATGTATTGCGCAATTTATAACAGGCATATTTTACATATTTCTATGGTATCATATAACTTGATATAATTTAGGTGAAATAGTGAAAGCTGTCAATATATCAAAAACTGGTTTAGTTAAGGTTGAATCGTTCGTTATTGGATTAGTTGAATATATTCAACAATTTGTTAACATTGGATATACTTTGCTAACGGTTATTTTCAACGAAATAGTTCATCTGCGAAAAGTTTATCTTGGTGTAAATCTTTACAAGTTTTTATTGATGTTTATGCTTGCATTTTGCCAAACATGTATCATTCATCTATCATTGGAATCGAGCAATTTTCATCTGCTTATCTTATGTGATATCAAATTCTGATCGCCGTTTCGCTTTGTCCTCAGAAATTGTCTGCGGCGCATAGCTCGTCACGATGATCAGGAGTTTTCAAACCAGAGCATCTTGAACGCTATGGAGAAATTTGTAAAAACCGTCAACCGCATGGACGAGACCATTCTGATCCCATGTCGTCTGATGGATTTGAAAGCTGCTCCTGCAGCAGATGAAAAGCCAAACGGCAAATCTAAGAAAGGTTCAGCCGATATGTTGACATCCACTGACCTGTACGATTTGTACAACATGTTAAATAATGTCAAAGTTGATCTTCTCTGGGGTGGCAAAGCTCCCGCGGAAGAAAGCTCGGCGGAAGAAACTACTACTCAAGTACCTGCCGCGAATAATAATTCGGCTCCAGCAACATCTCCCGATAATAATACCTTAAAAGTTACTAATAGTAAGCCGGGGCTCGCACGCAGGCCCTCGACCGCCAGCATGGCGTCCACAAACTCTGCTGTTTCCCTTAGCGATTGCGATTCGGATGCCGGCAATGAAAACGACTCTGGTATTGAAAGCGAGGAAGGTGCCGAAAAGAAAGATAAATCCCGTTTGGTGTCTGAGAATTTCCGAAGACATTTATTCGGCCTATATAGGACGCTAGAACAAATGACCGAAGCCGCCAATTACGTTACGGATCGCTACCAAACGGACGTTGGAAGTGTTTGATCAAAGGCCTCAACTTGTTTCTAGTTTTTAACTTAATATTATTTTGTTATGAATAGCGTTTTATTTATTATTAGATATTTGTGAATTACGTTCGGTTGACACCATTCAAAGATTAAAAGTATACCTGGTATTTGACTAATTTCGAAAGTTATTTTTGTTCAAACGGCCGGTGCCGTTGTTTTTCCAGGTCTAATAAGTGTCATGTGAAACCAAAATCAAAATGTAAAAGTGCTCTTTTGTACAAAACTGTGTTCTGAGTTTTTTCATTCATCTTCATGTGTTCAGAATAAATATTTTATTAAATCATGGTGTCCGTTGTTTATGTTGGGTAAATCTGTCTTAAAAATCTATGGTTTTATTATTATTACTCACTTATTTTAAAATGTTTCGAGAAAGATGAATTTTGTTAACGTTTGACTAACTGATATATAAATGATTGCAAATGAACATTCCGTTTTATAGATATCGATGGCATGTAGATAGAATAAATTTTTTATATTAGATAAAAAATATGTAAAATAATAATACATCTCGAGCGCCTTTACAGACCAGTAGATAAAAAATATTGAATCATATTATTTATTTATTTAAGACTGCTTCTTCATTTAACATTGAAAATACTAGTCGTAGAAGCCTCGAAATGTAAAAAATAATTCAGGTAACTCTCCAAAAATATTTCAGAGCGGTTTTTCATATCGTCTTTGATATTATTTGAATTGGAGAACTTGTGATCTTTTTACTATTGTGCAAATGACGTGGTGTATAAAAATTTGCTTTAAGAATATTTCAATGCAGAATATATATGTTAGCAATTGCCACAAGCTACAAAATTAGAATTAGATAACGGCGAATGTGAAGACATAGCTCTATTAAAACTATTTTTAAAGTTATACGAAAATTAATTATATTCGCACAATTCTATTATTAGGGAGCTTTGTGTTCACATAGGATGTAGTTAACTTTAACAAATTAGTACTTTAAAAATATGTTAACTTCAAAGAGATTTTATATTATATTTCAATATATAGAGAATATTTATAAGAATTTTGTTTCTATTAAAAGCAATTGCAAGAGATGATTATGAATAATATATTTACATTTATAATGCAATTGTTTTTCGCAAAATTCAAATGCTGACAATGAAATATTGCTTCTTATATTATTTTTGCATTGGTCATATTGCAATAAAAGTAATGATGGTATGCGTATTAAACAAAGGAGATTGGAATCGAAAAACGAGCATTTAAGACTCGATTTTATTCATGTTGGAAATTATAGATATTTTACTTACTATAATATAAATTAATATAATGTTATATTATATAATATAAATTATAATTATAGATATTATTTTACTTAATTTGATCTGCTATTTCGATACTGCTTTGTTTAATGACCATATTGCGAAACACCCAGAATGTCTGATTTTTTTTAGAAAATATTTATAAAAAGTATACCTGTTTTATAAGTATACTTGTGTGTGCTTGCGTGTACGGTAGGCTAAGGTCTAACTGTAAACTCATATTTAAAAATATAAAAATTATACGTTATATATAGTCTTTCACTTGGTATGATACTTCTTTCTTTACAGTTGATCATAGATTTTGAAGAATCAAATCAACCATTTTATAGTTCAATTCAAACTCTATTTTCATCTTAATGTTTATTGTTGCATCTTTTTTTTTTGTTTATCATTAGAGCAGCAAGAGAAAGCTCATGGAATTTTCATATCCATTGAAGACGCCCCAATAAAATCTTGCATAGTTATTTCAAAGTACGCATATAATTTGCGATTTTGTTAGTTTTTTTTATCTTAACAAGTTCTCGAAAATTAAATATTCAATCTTTAATTTACAATTTGGGATTTCCAGTGGTTTCATGTTTATAGCTAAGGGCTTGTGTTCAGAAGTTTCAAGTAACTTTTTCGGACAACCTGATTTCAAGCAGTAGTGACATTGGCTTTTTGAATATATAGAGAGCAATATGTTTCCAAGTGAAAAAATACCTTTTCCGTGGTATTTCTGAATCATTAAAAAACCCTACAATCGTTGGATAACCATCTATAAAGCTTGTCCTCCTCCCAATTGCTAATAGGACTCGTTAAGCTCTGATTGCTGTTAATATAACAAACTAGTGGGGTGTATGGCATCGTGCCTTAAGGCAAATTGCTGGAACTTCCCGTACCGTAACGAAATGTTCGAGGAATACTGAATGTTTTCCAATAGATTATTATTAATATTGTAACATTGTCTAATATTTATAAGAATTATATAAACTGAATCGCAAAGTTGAAATTATTTGTTTAAAGTATATTAGAACTGTAGTCAAAATTAGAAATCAAATCTGAATTATTTTCGATATACAAAAAAAATTTTTTTTGAAAAAAAAAAAGTTGAAACTAATTTTTTTTTCCAAAATCAATTATTTTGTTAAGACAAGCTGAAAGTTCTTTGAATCATTTAAATCGGACGCTTAGCTCTCTCAAAAACTGCCATTTTTTGCACATTTAGCTCCGTATCTTCGAAATGGCTGGGCCTGCCTTTGCCAAAAACTAATAAACACTTCTCCCAATCATTACTAATTGAATGTTTTTTAGATCATTAAAATCGGATGCTTCGTTCTCTCAAAAACTCGATTTCTATTTTCTGCACTCTTTGCTCTTTATCTCCGTAACTGCTGGACCTGCCTTTGCCAAAAACTAATCAGCACATGTCCCTACCAATAGGAATCGAATGTTTTTTGAATCATTCAAATCGGTTGGTCCGTGCGCCCGAAAATGTGACTGGAAATTTGTATCCATACATACATACATACACACATCCATTTTTTCTGAGGTATGACAAAATGTTCAGAAACCTTCAAAATGTCGAGAAATGTAAAAATTTTCAATTTCGATTTTCGGTCCATTACAATAACTTACCCTACGGGAAGTTAAAAATAGTTTACAATTCAATATGTGTTGTTTCACAATTTCTTTCTTTTGCTTATTAGCAATATTATATAAAAATACTTACAAGTTGATGATGTAAATAGTTATTGTCGAATAATTGCGAGTATCCTGTTATATCATGTCGCTTTGATTGTGTATAAATAAGTTTACATAAGTATATTTCAGGATGTTTGATTATTAAAAACTCTATTATATAATTATTACTTGATTTGCATTATCAAATCATTACAAATCTCGTTCTTATATGTTAACTGCTTTCACTTTTGTGTCAAGACCCTACGTTTTTCCAATGTGTTTGATCTCTGATATTTAATGATTTATCTATTTTAATGAAAGATAATTAATGTGTTTGGTTTGTCATTTACCTAAAGATACGAATAATCTCTAGTCTTGTGTACGAAGTATCACATGTACGTTCGAAGAGCCATCAAGTACTTCTCGCATGTTCGTTCGATTGCAAAGCATTGATTTTGTTATTAGGTGAACGAACGTGCTGCAAAGTGAAATCGTATTATGGTATAAGAGTCCATGGCCAAATATACTTTTTGTTGGTAAATAATGAGGGTCACAAATTTTACTTTATGCTTTTTAATGTATGTTTTGGTCTAGTTCAGATGTTTTTGCGTTATTCAACTCTGTTATCTAATAAATACAAATTCTTCTGGTAGGGATATTTTTTTTTTAATTTTATTGGCCTCCGCTTCACAGCATTTTTAGCCACCTACATTATTCATATTATTTTTTTTATCATATTCTATACAATTCTTACATATATATTTCTTATACAATCATCATATATATATACCCCATCTCTTCTTATATCCTAATCTTCCATTAAACTTTCTTTCTTCAATTCCATTCAATTTTCATTCTTCTTCTTGTTTCTCAATATGTTCTTCTCATCTCATATACTAAACTTCTTTTTCTTCTTACTTCTAACACAATTTTTTCTTGTATTCTACAAATTAACAATTCTTAATCTACTTTAATATTTTTATATTTTTAATTCTGGTATTGCTGCAGATTCGAACCGAATTCCTCCAGAGTGTGAGTCGAGTACGCTACTGAGTGAGCTATTCCCGCCATAGATATAAGTTTTATAGAGCAATTTTAGATCTTTGGATTTACATAGTAGTCTTCATAATAAGGATTTTAAAGGAAATTTAAAATTTAAAATTTTAATTATTTCTCATCTTTGATGATTGGAGTTATAACAGTTTGACCGATATTGATATTTTAAAAACTGTTCGAAAGATATAAGCTAGGATTGGTGCTAATTGGTTTTTGGTACTGTTTGGCCTGGTCGTTTTTTTGTAACTAATTTTCAATTTTTTTATGATTTTCTGAATCCTTTTATGGCCATGTAAGGGGATGTTCTTGTCTGAAGGCATGAATTTTATGCGATTCTTGAAAGGTTTTCGAAAATTATAAAATAAAATTAAAAATAGTCATGAAGTTTTAATTTAAACAGAAGGTAATAAAGTGGGGCCTCTCAAAAAATTTACACCTGACTCCTGACCATACCTATGATTTTAGTTCTCCAAATAATCTGAAGAAAAACTAGTGGTGCATGGCATCCGTACCTTAAGAAAAACTGCTAGAACTTATTTGAACTTATTCTCAAACTGGATATTTTTGTAACCATTCATATCGGTTGATTCAAATTACAAAATATCTTATTCTCGACCCCCTTTTTGAACTGGCATTTTCTAAAACTTTTTCTAGATCTTCGAAACCGCTGGACCTGCCTTTGCAAAAACTCAATCAATTCTTCACCACGTTAATACAAGTGGAATGTTTCTCTCACAAACTCAATTTCCATTCACTGCAATCTTATCTCCGTATCTCCAAAACGGCTGGATCAATTTTAGCCAAAAACTAATCAGTACGTCTTTTTATCAATTGAATGTTTTTGAATAATTCTAATCGGCTGAACGTTGCTGCCGAAAACACACATCTATGTTTTCTAAGGTATGCCAAAATATTCAGTGACCTCTGAAAAGATATGCAAAAAGTATCATTTTCGATTTTTGGACGATCACTATAATTTACCCTATAAAAATATTTTTTCACAAAATAGCATTTGCCCGAAGGATTTTCTTTCCAACTTTTTTATTATTCTCGATCTTCTTAAAAATATTAAAAATCGGAAATTGGGAATGAGCATACTGAACAGAATCTATAAAGACTCTATAAACATTTTAAGTATGTATATCGGTTCAGTAGAAGTAGAGAAACCATGATGAGTTTCAAGTAGTTTTATTAGGACCAATTTACACACAGAAATATATATTCTATTTCTGGTTGGCCGTATTGTTTTTTACAATGTACTAAAAGATAGGAAGTAAATTAAATTTATTGTTTTACAATTAACTTGCTAA